AGAATGAATCCAAGCTGGAAAATATTCTTCAGGATATTATTCAGGAAAACTTTCAAAACGTAGCAAGGCAGGACAATATTCAACTCCAGGTAATACAGAGAAGACCACGAAGATATTCCTCATGAAGAGCAACCTCAAGGCACATAATCGTCAGATTCACCAGGGTTGAAATGAAGGAGAAAATGCTAAGGACAGCCAGAGAGAAAGGTCAGGTTACCCACAAAGGGAAGCCCATCAGACTCACAGCAGATCTCTCAGCAGAAACCCTACAAGCCAGAAGAGAGTGGGGGCCAATATTCAATATCCTTAAAGAAAAGAACTTTCAAGCCAGAATTTCATATCCAGCCAAACTAAGCTTCATAAGTGAAGGAAAAATAAAATCTTTTGTGAACAAGCAAGTACTCAGAGATTTCGTCACCATCAGGCCTGCTTTACAAGAGCTTCTGAAAGAAGCACCACATATAGAAATGAACAACCAGTATGAGCCTTTCCAAAAATATACCAAAAAGTAAAGAGCATCAACATAATGAAAAATCTACATCAACTAATGGGCAAAACAGCCAGCTAGCATCAAATAGCAGTATTAAACTCACATATATTATTATTAATTCTAAATTTATATCAACTAAATGCCCCAATTAAAAGACACAGACAGGCAAATTGGATAAAAAGCCAAAACCCATCGGTATGCTGCATCCAGACCCATCTCACATGCAGGGATACACAAAAACAAAGGGATGGCAGAAGATTTACCAACCAAATGGAAAGTAAAAAATAAAAATAAAAATAAAAAGCAGGAGTTGCAATTCTCACCTCTGATAAAATAGACTTTAAAGCAATAAAGATCAAAAGAGGCAAAGAAGGACATTACATTATGATAAAAGAATCAATGCAACAAGAAGAGCTAATGATCCTAAATATATACACACCCAATACAGGAGCACAGATATATAAGACAAGTTCTTAATGACTTATAAATAGACTTAGACTCCCACACAATAATATTGGGAGACTTTAACGTTACATTGTCAATATTAGACAGATCAACGATACAGAAAATTAACAAGGATATCCAGGACTTGAACTCAGACCTGGAACAAGTAAACTTAATAAGCATTCATAGAACTCTCCACCCCAAATTCATAAAACATACATTCTTATCAGTACCACATCACACCTACTCTAAAAATGACTACATAATTGGAAGTAAATCACTCCTCAGTAATTACATAGCATTTCACAGGTTTAAATGAAATACTGGTTGGCTGCTTGTTTATTTTCCTCCCTTATTCCTTCCTGTCTCCATTGTTAAGCACAATTATTGGCATAAAAGAGGTTTTCAATATCCATTTTTAGACTGCATTCTAGCTGGGGCAATAAAGCAAGACTCCTGTTCTCTCTCCCTCTTTCTCTTTCTCTTTCTCGCTTTCATTCCTTTCTTTCTTTCTTTTTTCTTTCTTTTTTTTGTTTCCCAGAAAAAAAAAATACTTCCTCACTGGAAAAAAAAAAAAAGAAAAAATAGACTCACCATAAAATTTCAGGGAAACAATTGTAAAGCCATTGGCTAATATTTCATTATGACCCAGGGAGTATAGAAGATAACTAACTTCTGGGGGGGAAAAAGGCAACCAAGAATCCTATTTCCAGTGAAAATATCCTTCAACAATAAAAGAAAAGGCCGGGTATGATGGCTTACACCTGAAATTCCAGCACCCTGGGAGGCAGAGGTGGGCGGATCATGACGTCAGGAGTTCGAGGCCAGCCTGACCAACATGATGAAATCTCTAGTAAAAATACAAAAATTAACCAGGTGTTGTGGTGCGTGCCTGTAATCTCAGCTACTCTGCAGGCTGAGGCAGGAGAATTGCTTGAACCCGGGAGATGGAGGTTGCAGTGAGCTGAGTACACTTTTGCACTCCAGCCTGGGCAACAGAGCGAGACTCCATCTCAAAAAAAAAGAAAAGTAAAAATATTTCTTGGTAAATAAATATTAATAGATTCATGAATAGCAGATATGTCTTAGAAAATATTCAAGAGGAAATTCTTTATAATTTCAGGAAATAAAAGCAGTCACACAAGCCCAGAAGTAGAATTAAAACCCCCACCCTCCCAAAAAAGCAGCAAGCAGTAAGAAAGAATTTAGACAACAAACAAAAATGAAAGCAAACCAAAAAATTCTCTTCCTTCAATTCCTGTGAATTTCCAACTTAGAAAAACCCAACCTATTGTGAGAGATACCAGAATGCCAGAATGACAGAATGCCAGTTACCTTGGTTGGAATAGTAGGAGAAATAATTAAGATGGTGCATGAGGGAAGCATCAGGAGAATTTGGAATTTTGTAGGGTTTCATCTGGAGAGTGAATATACATAAACTTTAGTCAGTTTCACTTTTCAGTTTCATGAGCTTCACTCTATGTGCTTTATCTCCATTAAAGAAAAAAAAAGACAAAAAAGAGACAGAAACTAGACTCTTTAACATTAAAAAGAATAACCAAATATTAAGAAAAATCAACCTATTAAAGAGAAGTTTAAAATGTGCCTGAGAAAGTGAGAAAAAATAAAAACCTATTAGAGAAAATGAATGGAGACAATTAAATATGTCACTTCTGCCACTCAGGCAATATCAACTTTATCTTTATTAGAGGTCCTTCAAATACAGAGGATATTTTATGTCACTCTGCTCACAACAGAGCCTCTCCACCCTCCCCTTGGCTCTTTCCACCCCACTTCACCCATGGGGGATTTGCATATTGTCCCTTAGGGAGGGCCTTCCCTTGTGAGTCTGAGATAAAAGCTCAGCTCTAACCTTGCCTTGACTGATCAGAACTCCTCAGTTCACCTTCTCACATGAGGCTCCCTGCTCAGCTCCTGGGGCTGTTGATGTTCTGGGTCCCTGGTAAGAATAAAGGGAGATGGGGGGAGGAGAAAGGGGTGGGAGGGTGAGCTCTGGGGGCCCCTCTGCCTTTCATGTGTGTTCTGTCCATGGGTACATGTACTCGCCTTGCCCTCCAGGATGGGATATGTGATGTTTAAATCTGTGACAGTGAGAAAGATTCTAGAAGGAGCAAGGGCCTGTGCTCTGGGAAAGACTGACACAGAAAGAGGTGGATGGTATGAGAGTATTCAGTTAACTCCCTTGTGCCTCATAGATCTTGATTCTTTGTGGAATTGGATGTTTTTGGGATATAAACCAAAAATGCCCTCACAAAAATAATAATTTATCCTGAAAAATTTAACAGAAAACAAATAATGAAAATGTCTCTTAATGTTTGCTTATAACCTTCCACTTCTCTCTCATTACTTTAGGATCCAGCGGGGATGTTGTGATGACCCAGTCTCCACTTTCCCTGCTCATCACCCATGGAGAGCCAGCCTCTATCTCCTACAAGTCTAGTCAGAGTCTCCTGCATAGTGATGGAAACAGCTATTTGTCTTGGTATCTGAAGAAGCCAGGCCAGTCTCCACAGCCCCTGATCTACAAAGTTTCCACTAGGGCCTCTAGGGTCCCAGACAGGTTCAATGGCAGTGGGTCAGGCACAGATTTCACGCTAAAAATCAGCAGGGTGGAGCCTGAGGATGTTGGAGTTTATTACTGCATGCAATGTACAAAGTCATCCCACAGTGGTATAGCCCTGAGCACACACCTCCCTGCTGGGTGGCCCAGCTGCCCACATGTATTGTTTGTCTTAGGAGCAGGCACCACAGAGAGCAAGACAATAGAGAGCTTACAGGGATGAGTTGCAGGAAACTGTCCCCAGGCATGCAGGGGCTACACCTCAGGCAGAACCTACAGGAGAATGGCGGGGCCTAAGTGCCCACTGAGCAACCAGACATGACAATGGAGAAAGCTGAATGAAAGTTCATTTCAATCCTCCTAGACTTTTCCTACATCTATTTTTCAATTCAAACCATTGAATGTAACGACTTTGTAAGTAATGCTGGTTCATGTCAACCTAAAACTAATATTTGTTTGGATTTTATTTTTGTTGAATAGTTAGTGGTTATAGATGTAGCTGGGTTTGTTTGGTAATATACAGACTGTTTCTCTTCTTCCCCTACCTTCACACTTCCACTTTTTCTTAGCATATGTATCTCTCCAGCAAAGGGACAGGCATAGCATTTTATACCATAGTTTCAGGAATTATCCATGTAAGACCTATGCACATATCTGGTTTTGGGCTACTAGGTTGACTTTGTTAAATCTGTTTAAAAATAAGTCATGTGTCCAATGTGTTTGATCAGTCTCAGGCACAGCAGGTTGAAATAAAATGTGAGGTTTCTGAATTGCAAATCAAGGGCTTTAAAAATAAAGATTCAAGTCTGGAAGAATTAGCATACTTTTTAAATGCCATATTCAACAGAATTTTGAAAAATATTAGATAATGCATGATAATTTTTTGCCTAATACAAAACAAGAATATTAAGATTTTGGGCAGCAGCAGTGAAGACGAGCATGAAGGACATGTGGCAGAGGTCAACTGTTGGAGCAAACCCAGCTCTGTTGCTCATGTTTGCTGGAGTCCCTATGCTGGTGGGGTTGGAGTTGAGCTACACACCCAGATGGAAACTTGTAAGTATTTCTTGGAAAGAATCACAGTGTTGAATAGACCCCTGCTTGGTCTTCAAGGCTGTGCCCTGATGCCACTGCAATCTCATAGGGAAGTTGTCCCTCTTGTGGGGCTCTAGGACTTTAGTGACTCAAGGCTTACTGCAAAATTACCTTAGGTCATGTCACATCTTCCTAATCAACCCAGCAAGAATGGTCATTCAGGAGATACCTTATATCAAAATAGTTAATATGATAACGAGGGCTGAGCTATGGCTGGGAAGATCAGTGGGAGCTGAAGGTCCATATTTTAGACCTGCATGAAAGACATTAGTGCAGCGTTACAAGAGAAACTCAGGAGAATGTGGAAGCTTTCACTCTACGTTTCTGATCCAGCCTCCAGCCACTCTTCCTAACCCAGATCTCAACAAATGTCTCAAAATGAAAACCATCATGGAGTTAAGGGGTCAGCTCTTGTCTACTCTGTTAAGGCAGCTTTAAGAACTGCCAAACTTATGTGGATTTTCCTTCCTCAGAGTCCCCCTGTTTGGTCCAAGCGGGAATCTCCACCCACACTCACGCTTGGTAAGTTTTGTAAAATAAGTCAATGAGAGAAAACATCAGTTTACCTAAAATAGGCATTTCTCCCATGAAATTTTAGGTAATTTGGTTCATTTTGTCTGTAGCACTATGATGTCATTATAAAAATGATTTTTAAAATATACTACTCATTCCTTTCTGCTTTTGTTGAATTGCTTTTGTTGAATTGCTTTTGTTTCTCTTCCAAGAACTACTGCCTCATTCCTTTTACTTTTACATTTTAAATTAAGTTAAAATGGAGAATGCCAACTTTGTTATTATATTTTTAATAGGAGAAATTCATGTTGAGAACAATCAACAAAATGCACATGATGTGATCACATCTATGTTGAAAATGAAGGAATAGAATCTGAAAAAATTATGATGACTATGTCAGAGTTAACAATGTTTGATACCAGATGTGATTTTCATATTCCAGCAGTAAATGCATAGAACTGTATACTCTAAATATGCCACATTTAAAGACTGCTCCAATAGTATTTTTATACAGAACAGAGAATATAAATTATGGTATTATATATGATAGAGGTAATAAGCATTTGAATTAACAAACAAAAAATGCTGTATGATATTTATGTTTTGAGATCTGTGGTTGCCTTGGCCTTGTGCACATTTCTAGAGGCAGCAGGCCAATGGTGGTTACAGCAGTGTCTAGCATCCAGTACCTGTTCTATCACTCATGCAAATGGTCTCACCTAGTCTAGCATTAGTCCAAAACAGTTGAGTATTGACATTATTGCTCTGAGTCTAGTTTTGCAGACTATTTCATAATCTGCTTTTCAATTATTAAATATAAATTTTGAATATATACAGAGAACTGGCTTATGATATGTACAATTGAGGAACCTCAAAGACATGTTAGGATAAACATGATAGGACAAATTAAGATATTTTGTTAGTGTTATACTCCATCAACAGAAGCTGGGTTGGCCTAAAATATCTCTTATAAAGTGTGGTTCCCGGGTGTGCCCTGGGGTTCCAGCTCTACTCACTGTCAGTGGACATGGGGCAGATTTCTCACCCAGAATCAACAATCTGATGCTTGAGAAAGCTGAAGATGTTAGAACACCTTAGCATGACCTTCTCCCTGATAAGTCACAGCCTTGTATAATCTACTCCCACAGAGAGCAGGCAGAATCTACGACTCACTTCTAACTCATATAGAATGGCAAGAGTGGGGAGATGTCTTTCCAATGATTGCATTATATTATATAAGCCTCTGTCTTAGCACACTGGAGAGAGACACTCTCTGCTGGCCTTGAGCAAGCAAACAGGCATGTGTGCATTGCTTATGGGAAGATCACATGGCAGGGAATTCCCTGCAGCCTCTAGGACCTGAGAGCAACCTTCAGCCATGATCCAATAAGTTGAAGCCCTAAGTCATAGGGATGCAGGAAAATTAATTCTGCAACAATCTGGAAGAGCTTTAAACGGCCTGTGTTCTCAAGTGAGTCTCAGATGAGAATGCAGTCTACACTGTGGTACAGTCTTGTACAACCTATGGACAGTCTTCTACATGTCGCTTGTCAATTATCACAGCACTATTTGTTGAATAGGGTGTCCTTTCCCCACGTAGGCTGTTAAGTATTTGACTTTATTTCTGAGGTCTCTATTCTGTTCCATGGGTTTATGTATCTATTTTTACACTAGTATGATGCTGTTTTGGTGACTATGGCCTTATAGTATAGTTTGAAGTTGGGTAATGTGAGGCCTCAAGATTTTTTTCTTTTGGCTTAGTATTCCTTGGTTATGCAGACTTTTTAAAATTCCATATGAATTTTAGGACAGTTTATTTTCTAGTTCTGTGAAGAATGATGGTGGTACTCCTATAGGAATTGCATTAAATTTGTAGATTGCTTTTGGCAGTATGGTCATTTCACAATATTGATGCTATCCATCCATGAGCATGGGATGTATTTCCATTTGTTTGCATCATCTATGATTTATTTCAGAAGTTTCTTGTAGTTTTCCTTGTAGAGGTCTTTCACGTCCTTAGGTATTTTCCCAAGTATTTTTCTTGTTTGCAGCTATCATGAAAGGGATTGAGTCCTTGATTCCACTCTCAGGTTGATCGCTATTGGTGTATAGCAGAGCTATTGGTTTGTGTACATTAATTTTATATCCTGATACTTTGCTGAATTCATTTACCAGTTCTAGGAGATTTTGGGATCATCCCTCACCTTATACAAAAATCAACTGAAGGTGGATCAAAGACTTAAATCTAAGACCTGAAATAATAAACATTAAAGAAGACAACACTGAGAAACCCTTCTAAACATTGGCTTGGACAAAGACTTCATGACCAAAAACCCCAAAGCAAATACAACAAAAACAAAGATAAATATATGGGACTTAATTAAACTAAAACGCTTCTGCACAGCAAAAGAAATAATCAGCATAATTAATGGACAACCCACAAAATGGGAGAAAATCTTTATGATCTATACATCTGACAAAGGACTAATATCCAGAATCTACAATGAACTCAAACAAATCAGCAAGAAAAAACAAATAATCCCATTACCAAGTGGGCTAAGGATATGAATAGACAATTCTCAAAAGAAGATACACAAATGGCCAACAAACATATGGAAAAATATTCAACATCACTAATTATCAGGGAAATGCACATAAAAACTACAATGCAATATCACCTCACTATTGCAAGAATGGACATAAAAAAATTAAAAACTAACAGATGTTGGTGTGGATGCGGTGAAAAGGGAATGCTTTTACACTGTGGTGGGAATGTAAACTAGTAAAACTACTGTTGAAAACAGTGTGGCGATTCCACAGTGAACTAAAAGTAGACCTATTATTTGATCCAGCAATCCCACTCCTAAGTATCTACCCAGAGGAAAAGAAGTCATTATACAAAAAAGATATTTGCATATGCATGTTTACAGCAGCACAATTTGCAATTGCAAAAATGTGAAACCAGCTCAAATGCCCATTAATCAAGGAGTGGATAAAGAAACTGTGTTACATATATACTGTAGAATACTACTTAGCCATAAAAAGGAATGAAATAATGGCATTTGCCGTTGGATGGTGAATTCTACCCAACTTGGATGGAATTGGAGGCTATTATTCTAAGTGAAATAACTCAAGAATGGAAAACCAAACATCATATGTTCTCACTGACATGTGGGAGCTAAGCTATGAGAACACAAAGGTGTAAGAATGATACATTGGATTTTGGGGACTCAGGTGAATGGGAAGGGGCTGGCAAGAGATAAAAGATCACATACTGGGTACAAAGTACATGTGTTATGGGGGTGGATCTCTCATGAATTACTTGGTGCCCTTCCCAAGGTAATGAAGGAGTTCTCACTACATTAGGTCACTCTAGAGCTGGTTGTTTAAAAGAACCTGGCACCTCTTCCTTGCTCTCTTGCCCTCTCTCTCACCATGTGATGCTCCTGCTCCCCTTCCTTTTCTTCAATGATTAGAAGCTTCCAGAGGCCCCACCAGAAGTTGAACAGATGCTGGTGCCTTGTTAGTACAGCTTGCACAACCGTAAGCCAAATAAACCTCTTTTCTTTATAAATTGCTTGGTTTCAAGTATTCCTTTATGCTAATTCAAAATGGACTAATACAGACATGCACATATATATGCATTTGGACATATATATATATAAACAAAGGTGTGGTGTGTACAACTAAAAGTATAAACATCAATAATCTCAACT